AGATGGAGTCTTAACTCATGTCAGCCAGGCTGGTCTTGAACTCCTGACCTCAAATGATCTGCCCACCTCAGCCTCCAAAATGAGCTACTGCTCGCCACCAGCTCTTCTTTTTTTTGAGATGGAGTTTCGCTGTTGCCCGCCGACGTCTCTGCTCACTTCAACCTCCGCCTCCTGGGTTCAAGCGACTATCCTGCCTCAGCCTCCCGAGCTAACTGGGATTATAGGCATGTGCTGCCACACCTGACTAATTTTTGTATTTAGTACGAGACAGGATTTTGCCATATTGGCCCAGGCCTGGTCTCAAACTCCTGACCACAATGATCCGCCCACCAGCCCCCAAAGTTCTGGGGTTACAGGCGGAGCCATCATCGCCTGCCTCGAAAACACTGTTGCACTGGAAGCTTTGGGCTCTTCAGAGGGTGGGAATATTATCGTAAGTTTTGCTGATTTCAGAATCATTGTAGCCCTGTAATTTCTGATACTGATGTGTCCAGCAGCAGCACATTTCTCGTCCCAATTGGCTAGTGACGTCTAACTTCCGTCCTGACTGCTATTGGGGCAGCAACTGCCACACTCCAGGGCTGAAAACACTGAGTACAATGGCATTAATCATCAATTGGCGGCATGGTGGGCTCACAGACGTACCCGCTCTTTGGAGGAGGCCAAAGTGGGAGGTTGGTTGAGGCCAGAGTTGAGATCATGTCTGGTAACGGTAGTTGTAACACATCTGTTACCAAAAATAAAAATTAGAGACTGGACCTGTTGGGCTCACACCGTCAGTCTGATAATTCCATCGCTTTGGGCAACAACGACAAAAACCCCTTATCTACTGAGAGAAAAGTACAAAAATTAGCTGGCATGGTGGTGGGGCATCATAGTGTAATCCCAGCTATCTCTGCGGGCTGATCCCTGAGACACGCTGGAGAATCTGCTTGAACCGGCCCGAGACCAGAACGCTCCAGATGAGCCAAGGATTGCACCACTCGCTCCGAGCCTCTGCGGTGGACACAGCCCGAGACCTGTCTCAAGGAAACAAACAAAAATTAGCCCCTGGATGGATTTCTTGCTCCTGTCGTCTCAGCTGCTTTGGGACCAGGCCCAGAGGAGCACCAGCCCGGCCCGTCTAGATCATTAAGTCCCGAGGAGTCTGATCCGCGTTGCAGTGGCCGCGTGAGCTGTGATGCACCACTCACACGCTCCAGCTCTGGCGGGTGGCACCTGGAAACCCTGTCTCAGAAAAAAAAAAAAAAAAAAAATCTGCAAGCATGGGTTGACGTTTCAAGAAGCCAAGTGTCAGGGCCAAGGCTACCGGGACATATGCTTTCACGTGTCTGGGAGTCAGTGGAACAGAGTCCTTTCTATAACTACTGCATTACAAAAATTTTTAAGGTCAATTTTTACAATTTCTTTCTCAAGGGAAAGGCTGGGGATATTCTATCCTACATCGGTATTCTGTGTGACTTTTTTTTTGTGGAGCTTTGCCTTTCTGAGTGAGACCTTCCCCAAGTGGGCCGTGGGAAAGGCCCTGTGTTGGCTATAACTCCTTTTTTTAATGAGCGATATCTACTCTCGGGTTTACCAGCGCTTGTGCAGGACACACTTGTGGTCCTTTCCTGTTGCACGTGTCCACAGGGAAGAGACCCTGAAATGCAACCATAAAAAAAGGTTCCCATCAGGTTGAATGACAGTGCAGGTTTGCACTGTACCTTTCCCACTATGTGGTGTAAAATGGAAATCTCTTTCAAGAAAAAGTTCATTAGGAGAAAAAATTATCGGAACACATTCCTGTTTTAAGGAGGGAGAGAGGATAAGGTTTACTGGTCCGTGTAATAATATGCGAGGGAATATTTCTGCTGTAGGGAACGCCATTAGTGTTGTTTATATTTTATCATTTTTAATGAGCCTGCGTCCTTATCGCTCTTCTGTGTGTGTGTGTTGTTGTTGTGTG